GCGGCCGGCCCCCCTGCCCCGAGGGCCTCGCGGTTTCCAGCGCCCCGGGCTGGGTGGTCCGTGCCTCGGGGCGACTACGAGACGCTGCCGCCGGCTCCAGGGGCACATTACCAGGCCCTGCCCTAGTCCCGGAGCGCTCTGCCGCCGCCCGTCCCCGAGAGGCGATCGCAGTCGCTATTGCCTGGCTGGGGTCCGACCCAGTGTTGTGAGCGCCTAGCAGCTGCAAAGCCCGCACTTCCCCTTTCGGCTAGTGGGGTGCCAGCTCCTCCTTCACAGCAGCTCGCTCAGTGTCCACGCAGATTGCAGCCCCCCTCCTTTTTGTTGAGGCCCGGAGCGCTCTGCCGCCGCCCGTCCCCGAGAGGCGATCGCAGTCGCTATTGCCTGGCTGGGGTCCGACCCAGTGTTGTGAGCGCCTAGCAGCTGCAAAGCCCGCACTTCCCCTTTCGGCTAGTGGGGTGCCAGCTCCTCCTTCACAGCAGCTCGCTCAGTGTCCACGCAGATTGCAGCCCCCCTCCTTTTTGTTGAGGAAAGGCGTTGAAGTCAGACATGTAAGCCTTCTGCTTCTCCTTGGGCAAATCACTTCCTGGATCCTGACTCAGTTTCCCCAACTGCCAAAGGTGGACAATGATCTTGATCTCTTTTCATTATGGAAATCAGTTACTTGAAGGGATTAATCCACCAAGGGCTTTTAAGTTTCGAGCATGTTTTGATCCCTTCTGTTAGGCCTTTGGTGTATATTTGGCCCTTAACATCCAGGGATGTATGATGCGACTGGGGACCCTGCCTGTAACTAACAAATTTCTATACCCAATATTAATTATATGTTGTGCCCATTTTTGCAATCTTTGTGGAAACTAGTTTCATAATTACAATTCTAGTCCCAAAGACATTTGCCTTTGTAACTTTAGTCACATAGCTATAGGTGACTAAAGTTCCACATCTGCATGTTTGCAAACTGCTTGCAAGACAAGAAGCAATTTGTGCAAAAATTGAAGGACTGAGTCCTTAAATCAGGAAAAGCCCTACAATGCCTTTTGTACAGTAATTAGTGTGTTCTAGAGAAGTGAAATAGGAGTATTTGTGTTATGATAGAATAGTGTTCTAATTGCAATAGTTATTGCCTAACCTTGAGAAGATATTGATATTAGAGAGAGATTAAAGAGTTGTGGCCATTTAGCTCTTGACATTTGCAGGAGGAACAATGGAAAAGTCTTGTTTATTTTGCTGTAAATTAATTTTTCATTAAGTAAAATACTATATGATTGGAGAGATCCATTATAGTTAATTTGAGACATTTCTCTGAATTTAATGTGCTTTGGATTAGGTTTCATGTGAACTAAGAAGTTTCTGACAATTAGAAATGTAGTATATTAGGTGAAAGGGATAATGAGTTGTGAACTTTCTGAGCTATATGCCACTGACTATTGGAATTTGAGTTTATTTGGCTAGAGTTTTAGCTGTTAGCCCCCTAGTGTTAGTACTGAAATATTACTGAACTCTCTGATGGCCCAACCCTACAAAACCTTCAACACCAGTTGCTTTCATTTGCATGTGAATGTGTTTTCAGGATTAAACCCTAGCTTCAGTATTTATGTATTTGTTGTTAGCAAAAATAAATTAGTTAAAATTGAAATAGAATTGTGTTTACTTTCACAAATAAACAAGTTGGGACGAGTTGGGATTGGTCCTGCCTAGAGCAGGGGGCTGGACTTGATGACCTCCTGAGGTCTCTTTCAGCTCTATGGTGCTATGATTCTAAGTACAGCCCTGTCATTGTTAGAATCTGATGGTATTTTTAGATAAACACCTAATGATAAGGATTCCACAACCTCCCTTGGATGCTTGTTCCAGCACTTAAATATTTTTATAGTTAGTGTGTTTTGCTCTGCATATGCACGATATTGCTGACCTTTTCAATAAGAAAACTGGTAAGATTTGTTGTGACTTCTGTCTTCTTCCTTTGCATTACATGGCTACCCATCCATCACTTCAGGTTCCTGGAATCCATTTAATGCAGAAGCAAACATAATTTTAAGCTGGAGACAAAAATTATATAAGGCATTATGGCCCCAAGCAGTTTAATAGGCTCACTGTGAGAAAATCATCATAAGAAAAGAAACTGGACTAACAGAAAGTGTTATTTGCTTATTGGCGGAGTTCTGAACCTCTGCTCATGTCCCAGTGTATTCAGTCACATATAGCAATCAATATCACACAACTCTGCTAAGGGATATACATACACATGAACATTGATAACCATTCAGTGGTGAAGCCAGAAAAACGAAAAAGCTATTCATCAATCACCATAATTGGGTGTTGGTTAAGAACTGGCCATCCCTTCCTCTACAACAGTGGTTCCCAAACTTATTTATACCAGACACCGGCAAACCCATTCACACACTTTTGGTAGACACCGGCAAACCCATTCACACGCTTTTGGCGGACCAGCAACTTTTTATTTGCACACTTGCATACTCACTATGCAAATATTGAACATGCAAATATAAAAGTAAAATGTTGCTGGTCTGCCAAAAGTCCCAGCCCCCAGAACCCCCCCCCAGTGCCAGCCATCCAGGCTGCCAAAAGCCCAACCCCCTGAACCCTCAGTGCCAGCTGTAACCTCTAGAGCTCTCCACCATGCCAGCCACTGACCCCAGAGTCCCTTGTGCCCAACCCACCCAATGCCAGCTCCCCATCCCAAATGCCTCAGTGACAGCACCCCGCCCCTTGGAATCCCCCCCACCAGACCCCACAGTATCAGCCTCCTATTTCTAGAGCCACACTGCACCCTATTCCCCCAGAGCCTTCCCCAGTGCCAGCCCCCAGTCTCTAATTTTAGCCCTGCCCCCAGAAGCCCCCAGTGTCAGCTCTCCACCCCAGATGTCCTACTGCGTCCCAGTGTCAGCTCCCCATCTCTTTCAGCTCCCCACCCCTTAGAGTTCCCCAGTACTAGTCCTGACCCAGAGCCTCCAAGTATTAGCTTTGCCCCCAGAGCTGTCCAGTGCCAGACCCCACTTCTTAGAGCCCCCAACCCCAGAACCCTCCAGCACTAGCCCTTCCCCCCTTATCTAGCCTGCACTACCTGCGAGCTTAGTGCTGCCGCCTGGGTTACAGCTGGTCTAAGGCTACCCTGCCTGGCCCTGGTTGGCTGAGAGGTGGGGCAGGACATGCCTCTCCCAACAGCCGCAGCAGGAGCAGGGAATCCCAGCTCCCAAAGCCGAGGCAGCCTGGCAGCCAGATGTCTATGTCCCGGCAGTTGGGAACTGCTGCTCTACACTACTGACTGGGCCAAGCAAACATTGCATCACTTATACTGATTGTACATCACCCAAGACGTGGGCTTGCAGTGGGCAATAATTAAGCAATTGAATTAAAACAGTGGCCCATAGTGACTGCCTAGAGCCCATACATGGGCCCCAATCCTAGCCCCCTTTTAGCTCATAAATATCCAGCAAATAAGCCATCTGAGCCCTGTAGAATGGGAGGGCAGCACTCAGGTCTGCCTTGAAGACGACTGCTGGGATCACGCATGTGTGACTCTCCTGCAGGGGAGTCAACAACCACGCCAGACCCCTGGGTGAACTGTGTGGGGGAGGCTCCTTGCTCCCAGAAGGGGCGGGGCCCATGCAGCACTCCAGCAGTGATTTAAATTGTCCCACACTGCAGTAGAGGCAGCAATGGCCAGGAGCCCTGAGCCTTTTAGATTGTTGGTCCCCAAGGCAATTGCCTTGTTCATGCTTCCTCCCCAGCCCCTTCAGCGAACCTGCTCCATTGGCTCTGTGGGCAATTAGGTCCCACAGTTCTCACAGGATGCTAGTCAGTTGTACAATGGAAATGGTACATCATAACCAAGTCTTGCCTCTTTTGTTAGAAATACCTGCCCCCATGTACTGGAAAGCATGCTACTGTACTAGAGCAGTACACAAAAGTTTGCAGACTTGGAGTGCATTCCTACCAAGCTGCCAGCATGCAAAATTGCTTTACACACAACTTCCCATGATGGGATGAACATACCCTTATTTTCCTCCTCTTGTTGGTAGTGAAATTTAGGAGTAACTAGCAAGGTTAATTTATATTGCAAATTCATGTAAGGGTCCATGAGTGCTAATGAACCTTAACAGGAGAGAATAATCTTTAGCCATTAAGAAAAAGGACATTGTTTACCACCCAGACAAAGCATGTTGATGCAGATATGTAGCACCATACAGTCAGAAGAATGCAACAGGACATATTGTAAAACAGTGATACAGTAAACTTCCGATAATCCGGCACCTTTAGGACCCAGGGGGTGCCGGATTATCAGATATGCCGGACTATCAGAAGGGGGGGCTATGAGGGGTCTGGAGTGGGGTGGGGGAATGCTACCCCAGACCCCCTCATAGCCCTCCCTTCTGATAGTCCGGCTCTGCCCCAGGAGTCCCTGATTCAGCCGCTGGCGCTATCAGAAGGGGGGGCTATGAGGGGTCTGGAGTGGGGTGGGGGAATGCTACCCCAGACCCCCTCATAGCCCTCCCTTCTGATAGTCCGGCTCTGCCCCAGGAGTCCCCGATTCAGCCGCTGCTGGTCAGTTTCAGCAGCAGCTGAATTGGGACGCCTGCAGCAGAGCAGCGGGGGTGCTGCCGGGGT